CTTAATCTGCTCTGCTGAAGGTTCCCAATGAGTTTCTTCATTTGGAGCCAGATGTCAATATTCATACTCATGTTGATTAGTACCTGAGATGAGATTGAATTTAATGAGATTTCATTTCTCTGTTCCTCTGACTGCAAAGGGGGACACTACATAGCTCCCTTTCAAGCTGCTTTCAGATCTAGGGATGAAAGATGCTCTGTAGATCTGAAGAGCACCGCTCCTCTGTGTGGCTACTTCCGTGCAGCCTCATTCATAGCTAAAATTGGTCTGAAAACTGGCTAAACAAGAAGGCGATTTCCAGCACTGGTGCTACTTACCTCAGTCACCATAGTTAGTCCCAGAAGATAGCTAAGGAAACATACTATAGCGATGAAGATTTCCCGTCGGTAACCCTTCCTTAGGAAGGATGGGTGCAGATCAACTAATGACGTGATCTGTCCTTCAACTTCAACAAACTAAAGGGGAAAAACAACAACAAAGAAACATGACTTGAAAATTACCCGCCATGCATTTTATCTGGGCTCACACTTGAACAAACGCTCCACAGCAACACCCCAACCGTAGTCTGTGGCAAAATGCTGCTCTGAATAAATAAATCGGAAGCCATTCCTTTTGGAATGTAACCCAGAGGTTGAAGCGTGGGGGTAGTTTTCAGGTTGAAACAAGCTTTCAGAATTGATGTTCATTTCCTAGCAGCCTTTCGAACTACCAAAGGGGCTCTGTAAATGCAAGCGCAAGGATAAAGGAACTTAATTTGATGACAGGAGGGCACTCATGTGGCTTTTATGTTGTAGCTGTTGCAGATGAATACATGATGTATGCTAGTAAAGAGGCAGAGAGAAAACACTCAAAAAAGCCCACGCTAGAAGAGTACCTCCCAGCCTTTTTTTCGTGTGCCAGAAAACCTCACGGGTACTAGTTAGGTTAATTCCACAATTGGATATAATTCTACTCTTGGATTTGCTAGTGAAAATCCAGCCAAGGGAAAGCAGACTTTGATGTGAAATAACAGCACTTCTTGACTGAACTTGTCTTTTCTGAACCTGTGAGCAGAGTACCTCTGACTGAGGCTCTGGGGCACTCCTGCAGCAATAATGGAGCTGTTGATGATACAGTCCCCATGCAAAGATTTGGTAAACTGTTTGCATGTGTAAACCAAAAATGAAGCTCTGAATAGATGAGCTAAAAATCTTACTTTATCTAGCTTCATGATAACTGTATTTGTACTTACTCGCCATTGAAAGACTACATGTAAGAAATGTAACTTGACTTAACCAAATATCCCAAATTGGATTTGAACAAAAGTTCAAAGTTAAATTGAAAACCATATGCATTTCAACCACAGAGAAACGTGACTACTGAACTCCCCCCAAACAAATCCGAAGAAGGGATCATTCAGCTGATCTGTACTTTCAGCCTGGCAAGGTACAAAAGCACCAAGTTCACTGAAGGCATGAGGATACCATGGAGAACCAAGGCTGCCTCTGTAGAAATGATCTTCACTCTAAGTGGACACATCATCTTATAACTAATGAGTTATCACGGGGAGTCTATGAAATAATGTTATTTCAAGAAAAGCTACCCTTTCCTACTCAGTATCTATATTGCTCTTACAGGGCCCAGAAGTACCCTGTAATAACTCTACTCTCTTTGACCGCAAGCTGAAGCTCCGTTTTGGAAATACCGACTGTTTCACAAATACTCCACCGGATTTTGTTGCCTCCTGCCTTGTTACTTTGACTTCTGTAAAACTGGTTTTCTTTTTAAATGCAACCCTTTCCTTTGGGCTGATTTGATCTTAAACTGCTCTGGCATTCCAGAAACCTGCTTGACTGCACTCCAAAAAAACAGAGGGGTGGAGGAGAGAAATTAAGCGCTCCAATTAGTTTTAATCATTCTACGCAGTGAGGAGCTTTTTTAAATTACTAGACAGCTTCCAATTTGCATAAGCACAGGGTTATTGAACCACGGCATTGGGCACTTTTACATTTACTTTGGAATGATCGAAAGTTGCACACTGGAGTTCAAAGATTAAGTCGTAAAGAGCAATTTAGGACAAATGGAATATGAAAAATGTAAGAGATTAAGTATACAACAACTGGGTAAAAATCCGTTTACAGATCTCTCCTCATACGAGAGAACATTTAGCCTAAAAGAACATTTCATCCTTACCAATTGGGTTTTTATAATCTTAGTGACTTTCCATTTGAGTGCAGAAAGCTGCCTGTCGCCCTGAAAACTTATTTTGGCAAACAGTACCTGATCACCCATGTTTCCTTGTAAGTGGACCACCTAGAAATGATTTACAGGTTCTTTTGAGGTATTTAGCCCAGCATTCCTACAAGCAATCACTGGGAAAATAACCTAATTTCTTGGACTGAACTTTTTGATTTTTTTACGCTCACTAATTAATAGCAGCGTGTGCTACATAATTAGTACAGCTGGAACCCGAGATGTTTTCTGGCCAGTTTGGAGGTACTGAATGTGCACTGGTGAAAGTCATGGGGATCCCACATTGCTCAGCAGCTGCCAGCCTAACGCCACTGAAAAAGGCTGCGTTTTTTTCCTCTGACTGTTCGTGAAGCCACCCTGGCTATACTGTACAAAACATTTTGTGCTTTTTGTGCCTCCCAGTGTCTTAGCTTTTTTTTGGCACTTGACAATTATCAAAGCCTGTATTCCTAGTAGTTAGTCAGTCTTACAAGGTGTTTTAATGATGGGGTATACACACCGCAGGTGATCACAATGGCACAAAGTACTCTGTGGAACAGGACTGCTGTCATCTTTTGTTTTAAAATGATTAAGCTCATCTCCAAAGCAGGAAAACACTGCCCCGTGACCAAAAGGTGGTATTTTGTGGCCAGACTGGGACTGATATTTAGGCTAGGGAGTACTGCCCTAGTCTTGTGGACTCCATTAACTCCCAATGACAAAGACTTATTCAGCAACATCACACCATGAGCTGACAGTCATAGATTTATCAAAGGCAGCCCCGGCACTAAAAAGCAACCCAGATGAATTCCTCTTGAGCAGCATTAGAGGCATTCTCCTCTTAACTCCTGCCTGCAAAGCCAGCTTTTCTCAGTCAGCAGCGCCGAGACGATAAGCCACACGTCTCAGCCATCGTACTAACCTGGCTATCCAGTCCAAGCAACAGAAGCATAATAAAAAAAAGGATTGCCCAAAAGGTGGGCAGCGGCATCATGGACACAGCTTTGGGGTAGGCAATGAAGGCCAGGCCTGGACCTAGAGAAAGAGAAAACAGGAAAGGGGGAAGGGAAGGGAAGAGAAATAGTAAGTACCAGCTCTTTGGTAAAGGTAGCCACACTCAAATGCAGG